CAATTTTGGATGGATTGAGTTGTAACATACCTCGTCCGTTTCAAAAAAAAAAATGAATTTATTACTATTCAGGGGTAAACAATTTTTTTTTACTATACTCTTCGCAAATAATTTTTAGATATTTTTATTGTGACTTATAGTACTTTTTATATAATTTCTACAATATACAAATTTTTATTTCAAAAGGCTTTAGATCCGAATTCACACCGAAATTTAGTTAATTTAATCCTCGTACTCCAAAAAAAAAATCAAACAAATTAAAACAGATGAAGTAATAATTGAAAATATATAACATATCAAACAAAAATTCAAAGTCTTTCCTCGATCTAACCGGAAAAACAAAAGCTTTCATAATAGTATGAATAAAGTATTTTGCTTAAAAAAGGAGAAGCCATTTGTAAATGCTCGAGTTAACTTTGTTTGGAGTTGCAGTTTAATGGTTACAGTTTCATCTTATAATATGTAGATACAAGATTCAAATCTCGCTGATAGTTTCACCTTCACCTCTACCTGTTTGTCGGACGGGCTGGTTCAGGCAAGAGACAAAAACAGCCCGTCCGGTTAGTGGTCCGGGTTGGATAATGGACTAACTAACCGGGCTGCTAGCGGGTTGAGAACTTTCAGGTTAATTTGGGCCTGTCCGGGTTCAGGCTTAGCGGGTCCAGACTGGACCAGGTTATTTCTTTTTTTAGTGTATTATGTTTTTCTTATTCAATGTAATTGATACTTAAGTGTTTGCAAAATTTTAGTTAAGGAAATAAGTATTTTAAGGCAAAAAATTAAACTTTTAAACTTTAAAGTTTTAAATTTGAAAATTAAAATTTAAAATTTTGAAACTAAAATTAATTTGAAAGTAAGTGGCTGCGACAAGAGTGGGTTGCTCAAGTGGTGAGCACCTTTCACTTCTAACCAATAGGTTATGAGTTCAAGTCACCTCAAGAGCGAGATGGAGAGCTCTTGGACGGAGGGAATAAAAAAAAGTGGTTACAAAAAATTACTATTTAATAAGACCAATATATAAGGATCAAACTCTGAAGGCTTTCGTTTATATTTTCATTGGATAATAAATAATACTTCAAATTAATTTGCAAGTTCTATTTTAATTTTTTATTTTTGAACTTGCAAATTAAAAGTTTACAACAATTATAATAAATAAGAAAGAGTACATCACATGCTTTGCATCATTTTTGTAAGTTCATCCATGCCAACATGCGGTTCTTGGTTTCCGACATTGCTTGAATCGGAACAATAAACCATTATATCTCCAATTTCTTGGTCCTCCGTTTTATCTACCTCTTCACGCCCTTGATTTCGTCGCTCTGTTCTTATCTAATCTCTTAAGCACAATAGAACTTCCAAAGCGTTGCTACCCAATGAATGACAAGTATCTCCTAGTTGCTGGCTTGCTTGGCTAAATGCGCTCTCTGATGCGACTGTTGAAATCGGCACATTTAGCACGTCTCGAGCCATGGCCGAAAGAACTGGAAATTGATTTGAGTTGCTCTTCAACCAACCCAGTGGTAGATCCTTTGTGAGAGGCTCTGGTAGTTTTGCAAGTAGAATTAGAGTTCATCATTATTCCTGCTATTGGTTTGTTGATTCTCTTCTAATATAGACCAAATCAAATAATTTTCAACACCATCATTATCCTCCAAAACACCGGATACAAATATAAAAACTAAACTCGAAGGAATATTTGCATCTACAGCAGCAGAAGCAATAACAATGTTAGCATAATAATTATATAATGTTTGTAAATATTTGTGTAGATTAGAAATACAAGTTTCAACATCAGGGGTTTCAGAGGGTCCAATATCCATATAAATATATAAAGTAGTGATTAATTGGCGACAGGTGACCATTTTGATAGAAGGGTTTAAAATAGCATCAATTAGATAAATATGGGAAATATGATAGAAATATTTCTTAAATTTATCTAGTATAAATTCAACAACAGAACATATCATTCTTTCTTCTTGAAATTATGGAGTAAAAAAGAAATTTTAGCAATATGTACTAAACCATTTGCAATAGCAGGATAGTAGTCTCCAGAAAACTCAAGTGTAGCTACATAAAAATTTTGTAAAAAATTTACAACATCATCAATGACATCCCAAGTTCTAGATGTTAACAAACCGTTAGGATCAGTACAATGAGAATTAGCAACTTCAGTTATAGGCATTTTATATTTATAACAACATCTTAAGAATAAATACGTATAATTCTACCTAGTAACTATTTCTTCAGGCATGAGTCTTGGTTTTAGTCCATATTGTACACATTTATCCTTAAATGCATTTAGTGTAGCATTTCTATTATTTCCTTGAATTACACCAACAACTCTTCTAACTAAAGTGATCAAATACAAGGCCACTCTTAACAATTAAATTGTAAATATGACATGCACACCTCACATGAAATATTTCAGGAAGTGTTGGGCGTAGATGCAAATTTAATGGTGTAATAGAAGAATTGTTGTTAGAAGCGTTATCAAATGACATACACAAAAAATTTCTGAAAGATTGTAAATTATAGCAATTTCATGGATAGTATTACTTATAATGCAGCAGTATGACTTTGATCTTCATCATAATTAAAAGAAATAATATGTTTTTGCATACAAAAATTATCATTTATCCAATGGCATGAAATAGTCAAATAATTATTGTCATTAACAACACGATCAATATAAGAAGTAAGAGAAACTCTACAAAGAAAAACTAGCGAACAAATAACGGATATATGTCTGATATTGTTTAAAAAACCTAAAAATATCAACTCTACAAGTACTTCTAGGAATACCTTTAAACAAAGGATTATAAATTCTTTGAATATAAGTAACAAGATATGGTGAAGTAGCAAAACTAAAAGGTAAACAACCTAAATCAATCATTTTAGTTAATTCTTCCCGATCTTTCACTATATCGTATTTACCCATTAAACCGCCAATATCCGGGTTATGTTTTGGTTGGCCACCTTCCTCATCAGCACCCAATGCAATAAGGTGGTTATCTACCATGTGCCTACGAAGTTGACCGTTCCCCATTGCTTACCTCTGGTCTCATGATTATAAATTTCCTTACAAATTTGACATTTTACATAATTTTATCTTCTTCTATTATTTCAAAAAAAATCCCAAAACTTACTTCTTAATCTTCGATTCTTCTTAATAGGGAGGGGAGGCTTACCTGTATTACTATGACCTTCACCCCTAGTATTTTGACTAGCAGTACCAGGTATAGGTGGTAGTGTTTCAAGATTATCAGGTGATCGAATATCATCTAAACTATCATCTATACCATATTCTTCTTGAAGTTGCTCATAACCTACATTTAAATTTCCAGGTGAACTTTCAAATGTGTAAAACTACTAGAAGAACCAGTACCACCTCTTGATCTTTTAGGACTTTTACTCTTACTATTACCACCCTTACTAATGCATGTTTTTTTGGTTGCTCTAAATATATCCATTATGTAAATTAAATTAAAAAACTACATTAATAATTCTAAACAATAAAGTAATAATATACACCAAAAAAAAAGAAAGAGACAGAACGAGTGTACCGGGAATCCGGATGCCGCACTAAATTTGATATCACACTTCAATTGGTATTTGATGATATTGATACCACACTTCACTTGAATACTTTATATTTGGTAATTATAATTTTGTAGTAGCTAAAGTAAATATTTGATTAAACTTGAAATAATAAGTAATTGAGAATTTGAGAGCAATAAGCAATATTATCAAAAGAGAATTGAGAGAGAATTAGAGTATTAAGAGAGCAAATTGTGAGAAAAAATGAGGAAGATGAGGGGCTATTTATAGTTTTTAAAAGGTTAAAATTGTAATTTATCAATTATTAGGGTGTGGGACTCTTTTCTTAAGAGGGCAGGATGAAATGGCCAAAAATGCAAAAAAATGGCCGTTGCCCAATGATCATTTTTGAATTTGACCGTTGGCAACGGTAAAAAAATAAAGGCAAAATACCTTAAATCATCCCTAAACTTGGCTCAAATTATTAGTATCATTCCCGAACTATGCCCGATCTTAATTACCTCCCTCAACTTGGCTTTTTGAGAGCCATTACCCCCTAGACGCTGATATGACAAAAGTGTGGGTGCACTCACCTACCACGTGGATTTTTCTGCATATGTGGCATTTGTTTGAAAAATAAAATATATTTTTACCTTTTTAAGAATATTATTTTTTTAGATATTTTTTTTCGAATATAATTTATAATAAAACTTGGAGTGCCAAACGGGTTGCAAAAGCACTCCAAGTTTTATTATAAATTGTATTCAAAAAAAATTATTTAAAAAAGTAATTTTTTTTTGAAAAGGTAAAAATATATTTTATTTTTCAATTTCTTTTTACATATACAGAAAAATCCATGTGGCAGGCGAGTGCAACCACATTTTTTGTCATATCAGCGTCTAGGGGGTAATGACTCTCAAAAGGCCAAGTTGAGATGGGGTAATTAAGACCAGACATAGTTCGAGGAGGATACTAACAATTTGAGCCAAGTTTAGAGGTGATTTAAGGTATTTTGCCAAAAATAAATTGTATAACAGTAACCGGGGTTTAGCCCGATAAAAATCTAGTAGTGGGTAACCGAGCTAACCGGGTTTCAGAGCACCGGTTGCCAAAAAAGACCCGCCCACGTCCGGCTACACCCCTAATCTTCCCCAACGCGTCCCGCCCCTAGCAGACCGGGCTAAACCGGGTTGTCAGTGGGCTGGCCTGGCCCGTTTAACAGGTTTAGTTTCATCTTTCTTCTTTTCTCTCCTCCATAAAAAATAAAATAGAAAAAGTAAATAAAAGTTGCTTCGGTGAAGCAACGCTGCACCAGATACAACCTATTAAAAAATTGACTTCGCATAGTATATACTAGTACGTAGTAACTATAGCCTGACAGTCACTGTCAAAAATCACTAAACTAAACCGGCCAATAAATATCCAACTGAGCCCCTAACATCGATAAGTTTTATTTTGTGTCTTATACAATGACACTAGTTGTATGAAGCTTCTTTTTGTCTCATAAAATTGTGGACTCCAATCTTACACTGCTGGATCCACGAAATTTTGGTAAGACAAAAAGTTATCTCATACAACTAGTGTAAGTTGCATGACACAAAATAAAATTTTCCTCTCGCACCTATTATCAACCTTAAAACTAGCCAGGAATAGCAACATTGTGTTGTAATAAGCAAATTCCCATTCCTTTTTTCCTCATTTTCTCCCTTTCATATGGTCTGCACAAAATAAATCCTTCATTTTTTTTCTTCTCAAAACCCATAGTAGTAGCAAGAAAGCCCTGGCCACCATGTCTAACGAATGCGGAAACAAAGAGCATGAATTTCAGGAGATTTCTGCAGGCGAAGGCGCCGGCAGAAACAAGGGGTTCATGCTCTTTGGTGTTAGAGTGATGGAAGCTGGAAATTCTTTTAGGAAAAGTGCTAGCATGAACAATCTTGCTCTATTTGAACAGCAACATCAAGATTCCAACGTCGCCGCCGGCTATGCTTCTGATGACGTTGTTCATCCTTCTGCTAGGAGCCGTGAACGTAAACGAGGTCTATATATACCTTACCCATTTTACATACTAGAATTCTGAATCTGTTGTCTATGTTATTAAAATCTTAATTAATTTTGGATGGTGCTTAATTAGGAGTGGCATGGACAGAGGAAGAGCACAAACTATTTTTATTAGGATTGCAGAAAGTAGGGAAAGGTGATTGGAGAGGAATTTCAAGAAACTTTGTCAAGACAAGGACTCCTACTCAGGTGGCCAGTCATGCTCAGAAGTACTTTCTCCGCCGAAATAACATCAATAACCGCCGACGCCGCCGCTCTAGTCTTTTTGACATCACCACTCATACTCATGTAAGCCTTGAGTAACAAGTCAATTTTGTTACATTTTAATGTGGTCTGAAGAATAAAAAAGCAATAGGTTCAACTGAACCAATTGTACGCCGAGGACTAAGCTAGCGTTTGATCATAAATTCCTAAATTTATTTTGAAAAATTTAATTTGTGTGAAGTTTGGTTTGAATATTTAGATATCAGTTTTCAAAATATAATTCCCAAATTTATTTTGGAAAAACATGAAACATGACTTATACCTACAAATTCTAAAAACTATCACAAATATCCAAAAGTACCATTATTAATAACATTCATTATATATTATCGCAGACCATAATCCTAAACGTAAATAAATTTGGTATAAAATTATCATTTTTATAATGAAGTATATGATACACTATCAGATTACCGAGAAGACGAAGCAACATTGTTACAAAATAATAAATGGTGGGCTCTTTTATAAAATACAAAAGTTTGGGGCAATTTTTAAAAAATATAATAGTGATATTTGTGGGATTTAAGATTTTTCCAAAATATAGGAAAAATCTATGGCCAAACATGTATTTGTTTAATTTATTTTGGCAAAATCTATGGCCAAACGGGTCCTAAGTCGTTTATAGACATACAAGTTGTGGTTCTTGGATTCCAAAATTTTCTTCTTTTTTTGCAGGTTCAAAGTGTTGTTAAATTGGAAGATAAGCAAATGAATCAAAACACCATAGAAAAGTTTCCAATGTCAGCACTCGAGCAGGCAAAGTTATCTGGTACCTATGAAAGCTCGACAAATAACGTAATGATAGGACTGAACAAATCCGTGAAGCCCATTAGGTCTATACCATTTCTCCCTGTCCCTCCCTCATCAAAAATGTCAAATCTCAATTTAAACAAGACATATGCCCAAGAATCGGACGAAAAATCGCCTCCGGCGAGGCATTCATCGGGTTTCCAGGCAATGTCAGGTGGGTTCAATGGCAAGACTAGTGGGGATAGCATAATTAGTGTGGCTTGAATAAGGATTGGATTTGATTCTTATTCTTAATTAAAAATATCTGCGATGTAAAATGGGGTTTAGCTAGATAAGATTAGACATTAATGGGGGTTAGACGATGGAGAACATATTAATTAGGTGATTGATAATGATTCCTTTGTTTTGTATAGATGGTGTCATTTTCAACAGTTTTGAGGATTTCTTGTTTTGTATTATGTCTGGTTATTTTTGTGGTCGTAGGTGATTACAGCACCAACCAAGTAGCTACTATCCCTATCAATGTGACTCACGCTGTTATTTGGTCTCCAGCAGTTGTTGTAATAAAGAGAAAAGAAATTGAATAGACTTGTTTGTTTTCGAAAATGAGATCCAACTTTTAGTCTTGTCTTCGGCTTTGTCCTATTGCAAAGATTGAGACACGTATAAATTTATTTGCCTGATATAGACATTATTACTTGTTTAATACAAACTTAATTTAATTACTTATATGTTTTTTGGTCAATTATATATTTTCAGTTCAATTCATAAGTAGCAGATGCTATTACATTTGTTGCCGAAAATAGGGGTGTACATAGGCCGGGTTGGTTCGGATTTTACAATTACCAAACCAAACCAATTGTGTTAGGTTATTAAATCTAAAGACCAAACCAATAAAACTCGGGTTTTTCAATCTCGGTTTTTCTCGGGTTTTTGGGGTTTTTTCCCCGGTAAAATCTTTGTAGAACAAAATATATAATGTATGCTCAAAATATTTCTTTAATCCTAGTAAGATACAACTATATAAAGTATTTTCCAAGAAAATACAAAATATGAGATGTGCCATGACATTATCCTAAAATATTCATCAATAAAGACAATAAAATTATGTAATATAAATATTGCTAATTAGAAAGCCATAATAAAAATAAACATAATCTAAAAGTATTAAGTCATGCTAAAATAAATAGACTAATAAGGGAGTATTAATTACATGACAAAACGCTAGAGAAAAATAAAAATAGGTTATGCATTTTTATCTAAATTATTGCAAACCAAAAAATAGATATTCAATACATTCTCGTTCGTAATATTGAATTGAATGTCTTTTGTAAGCATTAGTATTGATTTGATTTTGTGTTTGGGCTTTTGTTAGCATTATTTAATTTACTAATATTAATGGCTATAAAACTTATTGGAGCATTCAAAAGTTCTAAGCTCAACCTTGAAATAATACCTTAAAAGATAAAATTGTGAAATTTTTTAAGAAATATTTATAAATTACATCACAATAAGTATATTTATATATTAAATATATCTAAAATTTCTATATATGTAATGTCGGGTTGGTTTGGTTTCGGTTTGAATTTCTTTAGTTAAAACCAAACCAAACCAATTATGGTCGGTTTTTTTTTTCCAACACCAAATCAAGTCAAATTAAACTATAGTCGAATTTTTTTTCCGATTTAACTCGAATTATCAGGTTGGTGCGATTTGTCGGTTTCCTTTGTACGTCCCTAACCGAAAAGATTAAACTATAGAGGAATGACTGGCGCCGCAAGCTTTGAGAACAACATCGATGCTTCTTGCTATAACGCCCTTACCTAAATTACTCAATTCACCTCAAGTTGTCGAAACATATTTCATGCTCACGTCTTTTAACCTTTTGGGTATTTAAAATAGGGCAAATACATAAGTCCCATTAAACTTGTCCAGAAAATTTATTTGAACACTTAAATTAAACGGGATATATAATTTTTGACACCATAAACATATTTTGAGTGAATTATATTACCCCTCTATGACACCAGACCAAGCGCGTGGAATCATATGATGTATGGGCTCGTTTTATAATTAAAGAAAGTAAAATTATTTAAAATTACATCTACTTTATAAACCGACCCCAAGGGTAAAAATTTCCACTCGATCCACTTTCTCTCCTCTTTGTCAAGAATCCTAAATTTCCCTTACCTTCAATTAGTCACAATTTCTAGCGAAGTGTCACGATCCCAAATCTCACCCTGAGATCGTGATGACACCTAGTTTCTAGAACTAGGTAAGCCTAACACATGATGAAAGTAACATATTAAGTCCATTTAATCATGAAATAAAAGTTGATATAATAACATAACATAGCTGAAAGTGAACAATAGTCATACATCCCCAAAACTGGTAGTACAGAGTCATAAGCTCTACTGAGAGTACACTAGAATCTAAAAAATACATCACTATTTTGGAATACAAATAATAGTAATAAGAATAATGGAAGATGACTGCGAGGCCTGCGAGCGGAATGACATGTATACATCAAAGTCTCCATAATATCTAGCTCAGCATATTAGCGCCCGGCTCGATCTGAGGTACTTGGATCTACACAAAAATATGTAGAAGTGTAGTATGAGTACACCATAAATGGTACCCAGTAAATATCAAAACCAACCTCAGTGGAGTAGTGACGATGTTCTAATCAAGACACTCACTAGACATAAAACATGTGCAGAATATCAATATAAAGCTAACAACGGAAAGCGAAATCAATAAATGGCAACAACGAGTGAACATGTGATAACACAATAAACTAACCCAAACATAGTTAAAATACAAGTGAATCAATTAAGGAAAAATAATGACAGTTCAAATCCTCAAGCCGTTCTAACACAAGATTTACAATAAGAATCACCTCGAGGTACCATAACTCATAATCACAATTCACAAGTCATCCTTATGGCGCCACGTGAGCTTCACATTTTAAAATATTTTTCCGAAATAGTTTCACGTGCATAAGCCCCCTTATCTCGCCCCGTGTGCTCACAATGAAGTATTTCCCTCACTAGCAACACACATATAAAATCCCCTTATCTCGCCGCATGCTTATCAATATACACACCACCCTTATGCTGCCGCATATGCATTTCATCACAACACAACAATTATCTCGCAACACACGTGCTTATATGCCACAACATTGTCCAACAACAATACCAATATCAATACAGTACATAACCACGACTCAACAACAATGATTACAAGAATTACAACAAAAACACAATGAAATGGAGGAAAATAATGAAATGGGTTCCATACAACAACAACTTCAGTTCAAGGCATATTAATAGTCTAAGAGTCTAATCCGGTCAATTACCATACATAAGTTCGTGTACACACTCGTCACCTCATGTATATGTCTTTTCACATAGTACTGTCACGACCCGGTTTACCCACCCTCGGGAGTTGTGATGGCGCCTAATAGTGAAAACTAAGCAAGCCAACTGACTGAATTATTTAACTTGTTTCCATTCCAAATCTGTTAACAATTAAGAACTAACAGTTAATAATCAACAAAATTTAATAAGCGGAAGATTTAAATTCAAGTTTTAATAACACTGCTAATACCATTCCATAATAAATCTACCCAAGACTGGTGTCACAACTTCACAGACTGTCTAGGAGTACTACAAATAAAGTATAAAAGAAATAAATACAACATTGTCTCTGAAAATACATAAAAGAAACAGGAATAGTAGATAGGAGGAGACGCCAAGGCCTGCGGACGCCTGTAGGACTACCTCGGGTCGCCTGATGAACAAAAAACAGCAATCTCACAGTCGTCCGAAGTCTACAGCACTGGGATCTGCACAAAAGAGTGCAGAGTGTAGTATCAGCACAACCGACCCTATGTGCTGGTAATTATCTGGCCTAACCCCGGCGAAGTAGTGACGAGGCTAGGACCAGACTACCAACTAAACCTGTGCAGTTACATTATATTCAGCAGAAAACAAAACAGAAATAAATAATTAAAGATGGGAGGGGGACATGCTACGGGAGAATATCATTTATCAAAAGTAATTCGAGAGAAAAGCATAAAGACAATTTAGAATTAACAACAAAGAATAAGGAAATCGTAACAAACCAATAAACACTTTTATTATCTACTATTGCGGCGCGCAACCCGATTCAAATCATAAAAACATTGTTGCGGCGTGCAACCCGATCCAATTATATTGTTGTTGCGGCGTGCAACCCGATCCAATCATAATATTGTTGCGGCATGCAATCCGATCCAAATATAATATTATTGCGGCGTGTAACCCGATCCAAATATAATATTATTATGACGTGCAATCCGATCCAAATATAATATTGTTGCGGAGTGCAACTCAATCCAAATATAATATTGTTGCGGCGTGCAACCCGATCCCAATATATAATTCAACACCAATCACAAAGGAGCACCGACAAGGGAACAATAAGGGAACAACAATATCCCGGCAAGGGAATCAATAACATCATAATAAAATTAAGTAACAACAGAAAATCCGTAAATTAACGTAAAGGACAACATAACTCAATTATCAGCAAGATTCGGGAAAATCAAGGACAAGTGCACGGTATCACCCTTCGTGCTTTAACACTCTCTTACCAAAACAATAATCACAAGAAATAAGGGCAAGGAAATAAATGAAATCACAATAAAATCCCGGCAAGGGAACAACAGTACAACAATCGAATCCCGGCGAGGGAACAGTATCAAAAATCCTCTTCTCTTTTCCTTTTCACATTTACTTCACAACTCACTTCACAACTTGAGCCAATGCTCTATAAGGTTCAATTTTCAGTTATACTTCCACAATTCATTTTTCAACTTGAGCCAACGCTCTTCAATATTCAAATACCAATATTACTTCCACAAGCCTTGCTCAACAATAGAAATCATCACAAAAGGCATGAACAATACAAACGGAGTCACACTAATCATAGTATAAGACTCACGGGCATGCTTGACACCAACGTATAGATACTCGTCACCATGCCTATACGTTGTACTCAACAAATAACACATAACAAATAGGACACAACTCCTAATCCCTCAAGCTAAGGCTAGACCAAACACTTACCTCGATGCCACGAATACAATTCAAGCCTCAATTATCGCTTTACCTCTTGATTCCACCACCAACTCGCTCGTATCTAGCCACAAGTTACTTAATTATATTAATAAATGCTTACTGAATCAATTCAAATGCTTGGAAATAAGTTTTCTAAAGTTTTTCCCAAAAAGTCAAAAATCGACCCCAGGTCCGCTTGGTCCAAACCCGAAATTCGGACCAAATCCTGATTACCCATTCACCCCCAAGCCCGGATATATAATTGATTTTGGAATCCGACCTCGATTTGAGGTCTAAATCCCCAAATATCAATATTCTTAGTTTTACCCAAAATTCCCAATTCCACCATGAAAACCCTAGATTCTAGGATGAAATCTTGTAAAAAGAAGTTAAGGAGTAAAGAAAATGAGTTAAAAATTACTTACTAATGTTTTGGAGAAGAAAGGTTGTTTGAAAAATCACCTCTTATGTTTTTGGGGTTTTAAAAATAAAAAAATAACT